CTGAGTTCGCCAGGGCGGCCCCCAAAAGTGCGGGCCACATGATTTAAATCATTGCACAGCCTAACCAGTAGTATATTGCTTTGTTGCGTAAATCGGGTTAAGAAATTTTACAATAATAAAGCTGAATGCGGAGACTAGACGATTCAACTATTTTTTAAGAAATTATGCAGTGGTTGTGGCATCTTATCATCTGACCCGCACTTTTGGGGACCGCTCTGGCGAACTCGGTAGACCTTTCAATAAGATTTCGATTTCATGAAAAAACATTTACTGATCAAACTTTTCAATAAAATTTGTTTATTTGAACTAGTTAGTACTCAAATATACACATTTTTCTCATTATCTCAATGTTTAAAGCATATTATTGTAATTATGTTGCAATATTTACTTGTAACAGCATACGAGATCAAACAGTAAGCTCAACGGCTTCGAAATACGTCCAATAAGAACTCGTGTGAAAATCAGGTACCTGATATGTAAGTGTGACTTAGTTGCGGATTACGAATTCCAGAAACAAAGAATTCTGAAAGTTCTATTGCAATCAGGTAATTTTTCTATTTGAGGAATAATAATAATCACAGTAATAGATAAACTTCAATCTATATAACTTTTTTTTCTTCTTATCTGACTCATAATGAGAATTATCATTAACCAAAACAATATGCATAATAAACGCAATATTTAACTCTGAAATATATCTATTTAAAGATATATATGTATAAATTGTATGAACAAAAACAGCCATTAATATATTATATGTATCGCGGATTTTCGGTAAAACAAATCCGGAGTGCACTTTTAATCATAAATTCTGGTCAAATTTGACCATAATTATGAAAATCGTAATCATTAAAGTTTGATACCTTAAAATAGTTCAATAAACAAATGCAGGATTATGATAAACGTGATATTCCGTGTAACACCTCTGGAAAGATTCCACACCAATAACGATAACGAGAACGATAATAATAAAAATAAGTGCGTACGATGCGTTATGTGTTACTACTACGTTACAATTAGTTAGTTATGAAGAAAATCGAACCAAGTTGCGTGGGAAGATTTTAAAAAGTTTTCCAACTTACAAATCGTTACCCTTTATTGTATTTTTTCCTTTATTCATCATCTCCGTGAAGTTTTCAAAGTTGTTTACACAAAGATATCCTAAAGAAAATTCCATATTCATTGCATTATTGCATTCATCGATAAACAAAAACTTTGATAAGCATCTTAAAAAAAAACAAAAAAAAACCTTTGATTAGCGTTAGTTATTTGACAATCAAGTTTGGAAATAAAATGATCGATAATATCATGTGCATTTTTAATACCAATAATATCATGTACATATTTAATAATTCTTTAACGCTAATATGAAAACATTTTTTTTATAAATTCGCACCCTGGAACGATTTAGCAACCTTCAATCTTTATTTTCTCTCATTTCCTCGTTTTTTTTTTGTTGTCTGCGAATAAATAAATTTTGATAATTTAAATTATTTGCAACTTATAGTAATTACAGTAGAAAATGGCACGAAAAACCCGCACTCAATCTCAATCCCTTCTTGCAGCAGCTTTAACCGCGATTTCAGGATCTACCGTCATTACACATGACGAATATAAAGGCCAAAAGGACAATTCTGATACGAGCTTTTACGAAGTTGACATTTATCAATCTCATATGCAGATTGGTCCAATCCCGACATCTAGCATTACAAAAATTCCTAAAAGTAATTCTTTGAAAACATCTAATAATGATGTTAAAGAAATTTTTGTTAAAACACCTTCTTCTAAAAAGAAACTTAGTATTCATACGTTACTTTCTTGCACCGTTAAAAGTTTTAAACAATTAATTTATTCACGTGAAGGTATTCTTCCATCCGTACAAGAACTTATATTCGATAAACAAATATTAAAGGATGAGCTCACATTATCACAGTATAATATAGAAGCTCATTCGGTTATTCAATTAAACATTTTATTACGAGAAGGAAGTAAATCCATAGGATATATTAATTCCGAACATTTAGATCCAGGATACGATTATGATTTTACAAATATTGTGGATACACAAACATTTAATCGTGG